GCATGGGTTCGATCCCCATTCCTGGCAGATCTTTTTTTATACAGTAGGTAGGTATTCGCAACGAATTACCATTTAGATTATGAAACAATGATAAGTATATGGAATAAAGTGTAGCAATTTTAGAGAAACACATATGGTATTGAAACTGCATTGACGACCAAAATTTCAGATTTATCATTATCAGTTGATAAATTATGTTATAAAGTAAAAAATTGCTTAGATTACTTTAAAGACGATAAACAATTTATTAATCTAAATGGTGCTCGTATATATATATATCGATGATGGGTCATATTGTACAATCAATGGTTTATTACAACAAAATAGTAATATAATTATGATAAAAGTAAAAATTAAGCGTAAAACAATTGAAAAATCGGCACTAGCGCCACATGATTGTTCTTAACGGAGACCACTACTGATTACCATACCAAAATATGATAACGACGGTATCAGTCATCTATGAAAAAACCTCAAGGTATGTTGAGAATTTAATTAATAGATTAAATAATTCGTATCCAAGTGTACTTTCTTGCTTGATTCGCTGATATCGCAACTCACGCTGTGATCCCGAGGAAGTCGCTATTGTCGTGGAGCGTTCGCGACCAACTCTTATTTTACAAAAGACTCATAATTCGCGAACGCGACGCAACAATAGCGACTTTTTAGCGATCGCTGTGTGACTTCGCGGTCCGAGCGCGATCGCTATAAGAAAACGTTGTCACGTCGCGATCGAATATTTCTCTTACGATCAGCTTTGCAAAATCAAGAAATGAATGAAGTTTTTCGGTTCAAGACTCGAGCTTCCAGAAAGATTTTTCGGTGAGTAACGTTGTGACAGAAAAGGTCCCTAATTTTTGAGAACTCTTGATACAGCTCTGATTTCCCGCGAATTGACCTGTGCATCTGAAAAGTTTCTAGAGGCAAGTTTGTAGAGGAGTTTCTTTTGGTACAAAAAGCTTTTTTCTAAACTTCTCCTCACGCCAAGAAAGGTCGAGTTTGTAAAGTAACGCTGTGACACACTTTTTTGTCGCACTATTTTTAGGCACTAAACGTTGTTAAAAAAGCTGCATACTTATACTCTGTGTAGTTCCAGGTTTTCTGAAAAGACTCAATTGAAAATAAAGTTCAAAAAATTCTCTGAGGCTTTCAGACTAAGGCAGAAGTTGAAACATTCAAGCATCCACTGTGTCTCAACTGAAAAATCGATCTCAAAATAAAATGCGCCATTTTGTAGAGAATTGAATTCTCTATTCAACAGTATGTTTTTAAAATTTTTTGAACCAAATGTTTAGGTCTTAAAATGTTTATATTGCAAATTAATTTTTTTCAGCATGAAAAGCTGCGTCTAATAATGTGCCCCTATCGATTTTGCGATGAAACGATTCAAAAAAATTTGATCAACGAAGTGTCAAATTATGTGAACAAGTCGTACAGTCTGCGCAGCGCCTTCAATTCATGTCACTAGCCTAGTTCGAGGCTAATAACATGAACCGAACTCGACAGAAAATAGCAATAATCCATTTTATGAAAATACAACATAAAATAGTACTAGTAGATTATGTCAACTTTCGGCAAATATCGAACTTGATGTCTTACGCATGTGCTAAATAACCAAAATCTGGTTTATTGAAACGATGGTTCTGACGGTCTTCAGAAAAATATGTTGCGTAATAAACAACATTTGGAGTTGATATCAAAGATCCGCACAGGTCATATCTTTGTACTTTTTTATTTTCTCAAAAACTAGGAAATTCCTATGACTGGTTCATGCCTCATTTGAAAGAGAGATGTTTATTCTATAAGATCATTTATTTAGATATAAAAATATGCTTAGCTTTCTAGGACTAAATAATAGAAAACTGAAAAATTTTATATTTTAAGATATGCATTTTTTCCAGTATTTTTTAAAAAAGTACCACGCCTATGGCAGTCCCAAAATAAATCTAGCTTCGTTTTGTAGAGCAGACAATTCTACATCGATTCATATACAATAAAACATTTTAAAACACGGACATGATGTACTTTTATCAAATATTGGAGATAAGAGTATCGGTTTCATCATTTTCTTACTTTTCTAAATTTTGATACAAATGTCAAAGATCTGGACATTTTCCAAACATTTTTCTACAAAGTGAGACGCTGGCGAGCCCTTTGCGATGTCTTTTTATGATTTTACACGCATTTTACCACACGCACTGCATTTGAAGTCGATTTCACTGGTTTTGATTTTAGTTTTGGCACTTTAAACAAATTTGAAAAGTTCACGTTTTTTCGATTAATCGGCGACCTCCAGTAGAATGTTTTGTCTCTAGTATCTTAACAAAACACTGTCAGAACGAGTTATTGCAGACTTAGTAGTCATTTTGAATGCTCTTTCGAATGACATGTGAATAATTAAAAAAAAGAATTTGTCAGCGGACAGTATGTTCGATGCTGTGGCGAAGGCTCTCTTAAGCCGTCACGTAACAGTGATCACACTCTTTCTAAATACTACGTATACACATAAATTACAAATCCACGCATACTTAAAAATTCTGAGTGTGGCCCGGTCCGACCTGACCAAAATACTTTTCGTCCCAAGCCCGGCCCAGCTCAGCCACGGCCAGGATCAGCACGTCAGCTCCAGTAAAAGTTAAAGTGATGGGTCTCTGACTTCTCAGAGAAGAGGAATTTTCTCCGCTCTCTACAGAGTGTTTTTGAAAAATGTTTATGTAGAACGCTCTAACCATCTGAGCTATCGAGCCACAGCCTCCGCATATCGCCTGACATCTTTCGCCTTTCGTAAGGAACTTATCCGTACGCAGCAAGTAAAGCAGTTCGTGTGATCAATGTTCAGTATAGACTATATAAATTAAAAAGTCTCAAACTTTTAGCCTATTTAGTACTAGATATGACCAGTGCTATTCAGCTATTTTACTTTTCCGGTTGGACAGATTCATAATCTAAAGATTTCAATGGAACACCTTCGCATCTTTGTGATTCATCGTTTACGGAATTTCCAAGATAACTGATGAATATTGTTATCACTTTGTCTGGTTCTTCTATTTCTTCAGCTTTATCTTCAGTTATCGCATAAGTGATCATCTTGAACTTTCCGTCTTATGGCCGATTCCAGAAAAAATTTGGGAAACGTTTTGAATATAGTATATTCAAAACGTTTCCCAAGCAAACATCATCCAAAAAATCTAGGTACATTTCGTCTGTAATCGAACTGAGCAGTTTTCTGTGGAATCACGTTTTCTGTGTAATCAGAGAAGTGTAACACCTATTCTAGCTGCGAGCGCGGACCGAAGGGACGCGTGAGTATTGTCTCGAATTTCGAAATACTGTGACACCTCTTGGGTTCTTTGGGATTCAGATAAAGCCAAATCAGATTACAGAGACTCGATGAACTGCACAAATTGAGTAAATAACGCTATTGCGCTTTCAAACTTTTGAGAGTCACATAACTAGTGAACTGCTGCTGACTTGATAGACTTGACTTCTATTCCATAGTTGGCTTCGAAACACGTACTCACTCTGATAAACTTTTCTGACCGGTCAAAGGCTAAAGCAACTGCTTCTGTAAACTATGGTGGAAAATGTGAACGTTCTCATCGCAAAAAATATGCATCAGTTCTGTAGTAACGAGATCGAGTTACAACAGAATGAATAATAATACCGACAGTACATTCATTCTACTTACAGGCAATGAATTTGTTGAATCGATGCGATTCACGTTATTCCATTGACTGTAGGTCTATGGTCATACGAAAAGGTAAAAATGTTTGTGTTTGTGTGTGTTTGTTTGTCCGTACACGGGTGTGACGGACGTACATACATATAGTCATATGGCAGTGTTGATTGATAACGACAGATGAGAAACGATTCATTATTTAGTTTTTAATATTTCTGCGTTTCAAAAGTTGAGTGTGGACTATCACATCCTGAAATTTTTAATAATTTCTAAGCATCAGTCCAAAAAGCCGATTCAACCATATCTATTCATTTTTCTCAGTGAATTCAATGCTCTTAACAGATCTTACATATGAAAATATGTGCAAGCAAAGCATGAAATGATCAAAACACACTCTGAAAAAAACTCCGGCTTATGTTCTTCGTCTTTCTACTTCGTTCGTCGTATTTCTTTCATCTATATCATTTTAAGACACTTGTTTCTCAAGGCCCTTCTTGTGTCATAGTTCTGCAACTGACGGAAAAGGATTTCAGCCATTAAACTTATTGAAATTAGCATAAGAGTGAGATGAACTCTATCCAATTTCTCATTTACCTTCATAACTGATGGAAGCACCATCGTTCTTCGATAAAACAATTCAGAGGTTTTTTCGTACATGAACCTGTTCAAGAGTACATCCACACTTTTGCGGTGCAAATTTCAGGACTTCTTGATAGAAACATAACGGCAAAACTACTAAGAGAAGTCATCAAAATTCGATTAATAGAACGAGAATTGCTTGTGTACATTCCCCGCAAGCAAAAGAAAATATCAAACGCTAAGTGGTGTGGATTATATGTTGCTTATCTTTTAGCACTGAAGATCAGATCTTCACGTCAGATTAGCAGAGAAAAATAAAAAGCTAAAAACTAAATAATGAAGCGTTTCTCATCTGTCGTTATCTTCGCACCATTATATATGGACATGTTTTTGCTGATATCCGTCACCACCCTGTCCCATAGAAATTCAAATAACTTGTTTTCCAGAAAAGAGTAATTTTTCTCCTATAGTAGCTGTCTACCCATTTGAGGATCCATCATTTTACGATATACTCTACTAACCATATCATTCGATATGGTTTTATTTTTATTAATTATATCAATTTTGTTGAAGCTTGACTATTGTAGTCCAACGTAATTATATTAGTCTATGGTTACAGAGAGATACGAAGAACATTCAGTGGATGGAAGTATTATTTGTCGATTTTTGTTAGGTTTTCTAGTGTGTCTCGTGTTTTTCCTTTTTTTCATAGTAGCTCATCATTCTCAGTATTCCAATAAAAATGCCGGCTGCATCAAAACAAGTAAACGACATCGAAAACAAAATGAAAAACATTCGTGATATATTCAAAGTAAACTATTCGATTTCTAAACTAAAGAACTAAACTATACTCTGTAAATCATCATTTCTAGATCAAGTATAATGATGTTGAAGTAAATCAAGGAGAAGATGTTGAATACATCAAAGTTCAAACAGCACCAAGAGTCACCGTTAATGAACCGACTCCGAACAAGGCATATACGGTCGTGGTTCTGGATATGTTTGATGGAAACGCTATGACAAGTGCACCGTATCTTATTTGGGGTGAAACGGGTATTGAAACAATCGGCATCGAAATTTAATGAAACAATACAAACCTCATATTAGTTGGGGAAAAGGGCATACAGTGCACAGGTAGGAAATATGAGATAGTTTTTAATTTATTTGACCTAGGCTCTCCATTTAGATTGGTTTTTCTTCTACTTGAAAGTGATAAAATACACCATAATGTTCGTTTCAAAGAAAGCACCAGAGAAAGATAATTTAATCTTTTATCTATCATAAGAGGCTGGGATGCAAATGCAACGATGGTTGGTATGAAATTTATTAATGTGCTCAGTAGAAAACAACCATTATTAGCCGAGACTACAGCTAAACTGAGAGGCTCAATTGAAGAATTATCGGCAACTACGAAATTATGATGAAACCATAAGGACTTACAATAATATTTTGATAGTGGACGCTCCATAGTAGTCTTACCTCTTTACGAAATTAAGGGCAAATTATTGAATCTTTTCGATGGAATCTTTTTAGCTAGGTTTGCACCCCGACATGCCCTCTTCACATTGGTATCTAAGCAATTTCTAGATTTCGTCTCCTTGAAAGACCCGAAGTCCTATAAAAGACGAATTTCATGTGGGACATTTTTCGCTGAAAAACAAAAAATTACTCCGAAGATAGGTTCTCGATGATGCTAATCAACATGAAAGGGTTTATTTGATTATTGAATTGTAGTTACATGTAGAGCTCATGTGCACTAGCACATGAAAATGCTTATTTTCGAGCTCCTTTGATAAGCAAAATCTGCGTTCCTTACGGTCTACTTGATTCTATCGTCTTTCTTTTTTCATCAGTCTTTTAGAATAACAGGACTTGCATTACTTGCTCCAAAAATAAACTAAATTTTGAAAAAAAGTACAAATACAAAAATAACTATTGCTCCACATTTTCCTCATCATCATCAGAATCTGTTTCTTCATTATCCGATTGTAAATGTAGTTCGATTGCTTCTTCCGTTATTTCATCTGCTGTTTTATACATCTCTTCGACTTTATACGCAGATTTTGCTTATCAAAGGAGCTCGAAAATAAGCATTTT